CCAAAATGGTTTCTGTGTGTCAGGCTGTAAACATGTTTATCTGCTGTAACGTTGGACATTTTAACACGGGGGTCTATGGGGACTCCATTGCCCCATTTTGGAGCCAAACTCAGGCAGACCTTTAAGGAACTGTAGTGTCTGGCTTCATTTTTCAGACTCAGAGGTTCCTGCTTTGTCACAAATCACGCTTGAATATCCTCTCGTAGTTTTAGAGCATTTACTGTATATATAGCTTAAGGCTATGTCAGCACTTGCCACCACCCTGTAAAACATACCCTGCTTTACCACCTGACTTCCTCTAAAGGGGACCATCATTGTTTAAAACTAACACCAGGCTGCATTGAAGGACACTTAAAACTTGAGGTTAAAACCATAAAACAATTAGGGAACTGTTTACTGAGGTAAAAAAATCAAGTGAGAAGTTGGCTAGCTTTCTTTTAGGCTTCCATACAATCAGACTTCCAAAGGAGTCGCCCCCTGCTGACTGGTAGAAAGAATGCAGGAGTCCATTTTTAAAAGAAATATATTTATATACAGTTTGTAAGTGGAGACTTGGCAATAATGTGCCTCCACCTGACCCACTTGGTTTATGGTTTATTTTCTTGGTTTAAAAAAACTATTAGCAGCCGTTAGCTTTCAAGCTAGTCAGCTACATATCAGCTAACCCTAACGTCTGTGTTGTGTGTTCCAGCGTTACGCAGACGAAAGCCACGTCGACAACCGGCCACATCCTCGGTGCTGCCATGACGACGCACTGCCACTGTTTCCTGACCCCGCCCCTTCACTGTCACATGACCCGGCAGTAAAGGCCTGCTCTGATTGGACGACGCAGCGGCATCAGTCAGACGAACAGGTGAGCTGCTCGTCTTGTTTTTTCATGTTTTCTTGGCCTGTTGTTGCGGATTTAATTTGTTGTCGGTAATTAAAGTGTCAAACCTGAACGCTGTTTTGATTTTTGATGGACGATAAGTAACAAGAAATAGTGCCATCAGTGCCTTAAAGGGCAGAAAAGTGAACGGTGCATGCGAGCAGGAGGTGATTTCAGATAAAATATTCATGAGAAAGTACGAGTTGTTGCCTGAAACCACAGCGGATTAACGGCGGCTTTGTGCTCTGCAGGCTGAAGAAGAACCGACGTGTCGGGAAGAAGCCGAACAAAGGTGAGAAAACCTCGAAGCTCAGAGACGAACTGAGACGCAGCGATCAGAGACACGGCGGCTTTTAGTTCGCAGGACGTTCCTCAAAACCGCAGAGATAAGACGAACGGTCGCCTTTATGTTCACACACAGCAGAACAAGTCGCAGAAGATCGGAGGAGCTCGGTGGGAAGTTCTACAGGCAGCGTGAGGGATGAAAAACTTCACATGGTGTCGCTTTAGTGGAGCAAAGTTTCTGTTTGTCATCAACAATGTAAAATAGCAGAAATCCTTCATTGTTTCAGGGCTTCAGTTCACAGAAAAGAGCTTCAGACGTGTGAAGGAAACCAACTTAAACGTTTTAATTAATTAGATTCTTCACAGTTTATTTATTGTATCGGCTCCACACTTAGACTTCCCACAAGTTTTATTGTCTTTTAAAGGCAGCTCCAGTGAACTCTGAGGACTCTTTGTTATTCATATAATCAAATTACTGTGTTGTTTTTTCAGAAAACTGGGATTTATAACAGAACAGCAGCATCGTAAACAGAAGATTAAAGTTTTATTCCTCTAATAAAGCACTAAACGCTATTTTCAAAAAAAACTCTGTCTCTGCTGTCGGGAGGTAAATTCTGGTGGAGGAGCAGATGGACGTCCGTCATGACGGTTCAGAACCGGCCCAAAGATTCACAGCATGAAAGTACGAAGCCGTAAAACGCTGCTGCCGACAAACGTTCAGGAAAAAAAAGTGATAAATATATTCTACTGTTAAAAAAAACTCATTTAATTATCTGCCAACTTTTGTGCAGAGAATTTAAAACTTCCACATCTGTCGGTCCGATTTCAAAGCTAGAAAATAAAACATCAAGTCTCATGTGCAAGAAAAAGTTCAATTTAATTAAAATACTTTAGTTCAAAATGTTGTTTTAAATAAACGTCAGCGCTAATAATTACTCACATGGTTTAATATAAATACAGCGACACTATATACAAGCAGCACGATTGATCAAAATGAGATTTTTTTGAGCCGGATTGGTTCGTTTTGAGCACAAACATGCATAAATCTGGAGCCGTTCGCCTGCAGCTTCTGTAGTTTTAGTTTTCAGACGATTAAAAAGTAGTTTTGAGCCACAGATGTGAAAGTCGACGGAATAAAACTGACAATTCCAGAGAATTTAGAGTTTCTGGGTGAGTTTAGCTTCGTGTGCTGTGTGTAGATTTAATTAAGTCTTTGTGCCTTTTAAATTTAAAACTAATTTAACGTGATGCGGATCTGGACCAGATTCCTACGAACCAGGATCCACCACATTTCATGAAATTTATTCCAGTTTTTCCCAGAATCCTGCTTTCAGACAAACTAACGGCTCTAAAAACGTCTGAATCCTTTAAATCTGGACGTTCGTGGCAGCGTCTGGAGAGTTCTGTGATCCGTTAAGAAAACCTTCCTACGGGTGTTTAAAGGTGGTTAAAGGTTCAAAGGCTGGACGCCAAAATGATAAAAACGATGATCCGAAGCCTCTTTTCTCAGCCTTTTAGAGCGTTTTCTCCTCTAACCCAGCTCCTCCTTCCTCCCCAGCGGGACCTCCAGCAGCCGGGCCCGGACCTCCTGGACCTCCTTGCTGCCCCCGGCCCTCCTCTCCGTCCTCCTGGCCCTGCTGGCCGCCTTCATCTGGCTCCTCCTGGAGCCGCCGTGTCACCGTAGCAACGGGATGCGGCGCAGCTTCCACCTGATGCTGCGATACGTCAACGGACCGCCGCCGACCTGAAACGGGTCGAACAACCCGATCTGACCGAGATCAGCGGGGTGATGAATCCAGAAACGTTTCTATCGTTACTTCTTATTTCCATCCACGTCGCCAACTCATCAACAAGCTCACGTTTAAACTCAGGCTGCAGGATGGTTTCAGTGCAAACACCGACTTTTTAAATCCTAATGACCAAAAAAGGCCTTTTTTTAATAACACGAGTGTTTTGCAAGAAAGTTCCGACTGTTCCACTTTTCTTTGAGATTCCTGCACAAGCATCACGTAAAAAGGCTTTGATTTGTCCTGGAAGCAGCTGAAAGGTTTGTGTTTTTAAGGAAAAGGGAAAAACTCACTTTCCTTCTTTGTTCCAGTAATTCAGGCCAAATTAAACTCCACATTTTTGCAGATTATAAAACCAACTGCTGGAGCAAAAATGTGCAGTTTGAGCGTAAAACAAGCAAAAATGAAAAGTCGAAGTTGCAAAGTTTAGAAACTGAATCTATCAGCAGCTGAAATAATTAAATCTAAAAACGCTGCCGTCCCAAATACCTGAAACCTGGAGGTTTAGCTGCTGGTTAATGTTGGTTTATTTGGCAACTTATTGATGGTTTTAAACCCTTAAGAGCTGAAAATGTGGGAATCAAAGCTAGAATTCCAAAACCAGATCAGTTATTGGTCCTACTTTGTCGGATATGTGTGAATAAGCTCCTCCTGTCTGACGTTTCTAAAACTGTATTTACTCAGATTTATCCCGACAAGCGCCTTAAACAGCACAAACTGCAGCAGAATGAGGGGAAAAATGGTAAATTTGGTTCCTTTCTGCTCGTTTGTTTCAGGAAATGAAGGTTTGTTGTGTTGCGAGGCTCAATATTTGGAATTATTGATCGTTTTTGTTGATAATCTGATGAAAACGATGGATATTAGAAACACTGCCGCGGATGGAAAGTCGCATTATTGTGTAGAAAATTTAATAAAGCAGAGGAGTAGATGATTTACCACCTTTATAGCCTTAGACTGCTAACGAGCTAACGCGCTAACGTTGTGTCCTGAATATGAATCGCTAACCGCCTCGTTAAGCACTTTTATAATTAACTGGATCTTTTCTAACCTGCTCCGTCCAAACAGTTCTATTTCTAAAGACGTGGCTCTTTTTCCCGATATTTTGTCATTTCGTCGACGCGCGAACGCAGTTTTATGTTACTGACGACGGATCGATGAGCGTCTGTGGTGTCGACATGTCGACGCCAACGTTCACACGCATGGAGGTTGTTGTGGCTCCAACATGACTCAAATGTTCAACATTTGTTCAAAATAAACAAAAAAATTCCAACAGAAGTAAAAATGTGTCCAAGACGAAAACAACTCGACCAAAGAAAGCAAAAATTTGTAAAAAGTTCCAAGAATTTGTCCAAAATGGCTCCAAATGAGTCCAAAATGACTCAACATTTATACAAAAAGTGACCAAAACTTGTACAAAATCATCTCAAACTTCATCCAGAACAACTCAAACTCTATCCAACTGAACTCCAGGGTTTCCCAGATGAAGATAAAATGGTCCAGAACCTCTTCTATGGAGCGTTTCAGGCGTTGCAGGAGCTCTGGGAGCAGAGCGTCGCTGCACCAGGAGAACACCATGACAATGAATTTTTGCTTTTTCTGGGAACTTTTAGTCTCTGCGAGTTGAATTAATTTGGTCCGTCAGTGGCTCAGATGTGGCTCTGCTTGGTCTTTACTTCTGCATGTGTGTAGTTTGAACGTAGATCAGAAGGTTTCAGAAGAACACGATGGACGACGACGCTTTAGCCACAAATCTAAACGTCTGATGAGAGCAGACATGTTGTGGAGCAGGAACGTGGAGGAGGTGGTTGTTGTTGTTGCTGTGGATGTTTGACTGATTGTTTTTATTCAACACCGTCCACGACGTCGGTGAGATGTTTTATGAGCGTTTCTTCACCACTAGAAGCTGTTTGTTGGACTCGATGAACCCTAAACGTCCGACTGGTCTCAGGGGAAGATGTCGGGCCGAGTTCCCTACAAGTCGTTAAAGCTGCCATCGAGTTTTAAAGAGTTTTGACCAAATAACTTCAGGAACTTGTCTGAACTGCCGCCTTAAACATTTCACCTTTTTAGTCAATCGTTGTTTCGTATTTGAAGAACGGATCCAATCAGATGCTTTTGTATGTAAAATAAAATGAACTGTATGAAACGTTTGTGACTTTTCTGAATTTATTTCCCCTTTAAGACGCGTTGAACCTTTTAAAGCCTCAAAACTCGGCACCAGCTTTCAAGGATTTATAAATAAATCGCTTAAATTGCACCAATTATCATAACGAGAAGACTAAACACAGGAAAAGTTGTCGGATTTCCCAACAGTCTGCGAATGCATCATGTCTGACATCCAGATAAAAAACTAAACCCAGCCAGAGTTTCCTCAGAGAGACTGAGAAGAACATCCAACCGACTGGATCAATGAGTAGATGCAGCACGGATCAGAACCAGAGACCAGAGGAGCCAGTTGGTGGAGATACATTCATCTGATGGAGGAACATCTTTCTACTGATGATGAGCCGAGAAGATGAACTAAAAATGGTCCATAATGAGTCAAAATTGTCATTTCATCCAATTTGAACTAGATTTAAGTAAATTTAGAGACTTTTTTTAAGCTATTTTGGACATTTCATACCAGGTTTTTCACATTTTTTGTTGCCTCGGACAAGTTTTCAGCCGATCTTATTAATTTTTGTGTTACTTCTGACAAGTTCTGAGTCATTCTGGACATTTTTTCTGAACGTTTTCCTCATTATTTCCATTAATGCTACAGAATGTAACGTCCATTCACAGATTCTGCAGCAATTTTTTTAAAAAAAACTAAAGAATGTTGATCCAAAAGTGTAAAAGTTGATGTTTTCAAGCTTCATCATGACAGAAAACATCAGACTTTCCTCCATTGGACCAAAGAGACGTTTTGGAATCCAAACTCTGAGGGTAAACATCTGCTTTCAGTCTGACCACATCAGTCCGAGTCTCTAAGCAGAAACCCGTTTCCTTCGTCTTCCTGCTGCCGAGTTAATCTACGAGTGAATGACGGCAGAGTTTACGTTGTGCCGGGTCTCGTGCGGCGCTCACGTGTCCGCGGTCAATGCGATCGGTGACACTGCTAATGCACTTAGCGGGGATTAGCGCCGGCCGCCGTTTGTGTGTCTGTGTGAGCGTAAACATGGAGGACGGGCGTTCCCGCCGTCGGTCGGCAGGAGGTGTGTTGGTGTCGGGTTTGAGACGCAAACGAGTCTGATCTGGTCTGAGAAACGTCCAGTATGGTGGGTTTATAGGTGCTCATCAGACACGCTCACAACCTGTAGAGGTCAGTGTGTTGTTCTGATGGGATTTTACATCTTTTTCTGATAACTTGTATATTTTTATTGGGTTTTTTTTTGCATCTTATTTCTGTGATTTTGCATATTTTGTGGTAATTTTGTGTGTTTTTGCATCTATTTGTTGTGATTTAGCATCTTTTTTTGTAATTTTGTGCGTTGTTGTCATAATTTTGCATCTTTTTCTAATAATTTGTGCATTTTTGTTGTGATTTTGCATATTTTCTAGTAATTTTACGTGTTTTTGTTTTGATTTTGCGTCTATTTGTCGGGATTTCGCATCTTTTTTTCATAATTTTGGGCATGTTGTGGTGATTTCGCATAAATTTCTAATAATTTGAATATTCTTGTCATGATTTTGCATCTTTTTGTCATAATTTTGTGTTTGTTTGATGTGATTTTGTGTCTTTTGATGTGATTTTGTGTAGAAGAAAATGTTTTTTTTCCCCAAAAATATCCATATTAATTATAACAAGGCTTAAATTAAGAAAAGAAAAAATAAACCGTTATAAGAGTAACAGCTTAATAAAACTGACAAAATAAGTCATAAATATTATTGTTTTATTTTACTACAATTAATATCATTATTAAGTAATGAATTAAATAATATCAGTTCTGATTATTTCGGACCAGTGGATTAAAAACAATATAAACACGCTAACGAATGCTAATGCTAACGCTAACAGCAGCAGCAGATGTGTGTGTCTGCTGAAGTCAAACAACAGCGTGAGAAGTGTGTGTTTGTGTGCACGTGACCACACAGTGTGTGAACATGCTCGTGCACGTGTGTGTTTGTGTTTGTGTTTCTTCATTCGTCGGTTGTTCCTGCGTCAGTCGGAGATTCTTCCTCCTTTGCTGATAAAATCCTTCTGTTTGTGTCTCTGCAGTGGTTCTGCTGTTTGTGTGTCTGTTTGTGCGTTTGCTGGTGATCCAGTTAATGAAAGCGCTCCATCTGTTCGAGCGCCGGCAGCGCTGCAGCTGGGACGAAGACGACGACGACGGCGATGATGATGATGATGATGATGATGATGATGATGATTCTGCTCGTTAAGAGGAAGACTCAGACTCCTGAGCAGGCCGAGGACAAGCCTTTGATTGTTTTTAACATCTAAACTTGAACCTCAAACACTGAAGAGTTGTTTTTTTAATTCACAGAATCAAACTGGATTCTGCGGCGGCGTTCTTTCCAAACATGCCGAACCCAAACTACTCGACACGCCGGATTCCGACGTTAAATCTGCCCGTCGTGCCATAAAGATGCGTGTGTTCGGACGGATAAAGGCTGTTTTTCAGGCTCGGCTCGTGGAAACGGGACGACGACGAGGGGCAGAGGGCCGATGAATGCCGCCGATTGTTTCCCACAGCTGAGAAAACGCTTCGAATCCACTTAGAGGGCAAATAATTTCACGTTAGCGGAGGAATTCGCTGGTGGACTTTTAACCCGGCGGTCGTGAGACAGAAGGAAAGAATTCCAAGAAAAGAGACAAAACCTCGAGGATGAAAGATTCAAAACATTCACAAGTTGTGTTTCTAACTGAAATACATCATGAAGCAGGTCGACTGGTCGTCAGTTTGTTCTCATCAAGACCGAACTCTCGTTAGTTAAACAGTCTGTGATGTAAGTTCAACATCAGCAGCCTTCTAGGAT